AGAAACTCAAACTTCAGACATTTACAAGCTAAAACATAAAATAAGAATTTCCCACTTTTGACTTGCTGAGATATTAATATATTTCCCAAACCTACAAGGGTACCCCCGCCCACTATTCCATTCTTTGGATTTTTTAAACCTCTTGTCTACTCACATCTACTTCTCTTAAGTACGTTTATACCCAATAGAAAGAGAACATTACAAGCTACATAATTCTGACAGTCATTTGTAATTAGCTTGAAGGGGAAACTTGTAATTGACAGGAGATGTTGAAGTCTTCTGAGTAAATCATTGCTCTGAACCAAAATGAAATACTTGAAACCATATATATAGTTTAGTTAAAAATCCAGATGATAGTGGTTTTAAGTGGTTTTCTAAAATTAATCTTCGACATTAACAAAAATTAATTTGTCTACCCTCTCCACTTTAGAGAATAAACGAGGCTTAGTAAATATGATGCACGAGTACAAATCAATTTTGTAACATCGTAAGTACTAGGACTCATTGTTTTTCTATATATATATTTTATTGAGTCATGTTTTAAGAAAAATAATTAAAAATTATGCATTTATAAGTAAATAGTAATAACAGGTAGGCAAACAATGATTTATAAGTATAAGGAAGAACTATTATACTACATGTTTCAACAGAACATCGGCCTGTCTTCTTCAGATATGATTAGTATACTAAGCAATACAAGGTTTATATACACTTACAAATACAAAAGACACAAGCATTAAATGTGAAGGAAGTGGTGTCAGCGGGTAACAGGGTATAGGTAAAGATCAAATCTGGTCAAATGACTGAACGGTGAATAGACTTTCCAAATACGGCTGATGTTGCTATGGTCATTATCACACTTTAGTGAGAGAGGGAGAGTTTCTCAACAGCCTCTTTAAAGCTTTTTCAGTCTTGGGTTGGTGTAGTGTAGGAGAAAAATTTCGGGCCAAAGTATGTTGGGACCCGTTTCATATTAATATGTCAAAGCAGATATCTGGAAATCGCCTCCGCACCTGTGACCTTGGCGTTCCTCGAGTCTTATTTCTTAGGGACATTATATTTGTCTTACGTATTTCTTTTCACATTCACATGGAATACTATACATGTCTGTCAAAACAAGTAGTACCTTTATGCTTATAAATCATTGTCTGCCTACCTTATTATTATTATGTTAGTATAATGTTCTTCCTTGCTAAAGTAAATAGTAGAATATATAGGAGGATAATTAACATCCAAATACCTACCAAGTTTATAGGATCGTCCAGGACTTTCTAGAAAGTCATAACACAAGCATTTTTTTTTCTTACACTTTTATTACTTTAGACAATTTTCACTGCAACCACTGTACTATAAAAAAGCCAATAAATTCTGTCCCAGCGTGTTCTCAGATCCTGGATTAAGATAAACTCTGTGGGATAGTCCTAGTATTTGCAATGTACAAGCTTATTTGCGACTGATGGTTACGACAATATTGGTAGCAAATAAGCTTATGCACTGCACAAACAGTCTAATGTCAGGAGCAGTGATACATTGCTTTATGATCAGGAGGCTTCTACTTCAGCCACTAACAGTAAAATAAACATAGGAAATAGATGTGAAAAAGTTTAAAAGGGG